TGGTGCCACGCACTAGGCAAATTTCAGCTCAAGACTGTGAGCCAACTTTTTGTGATGCTGTACCCGTAAGACTGCACACAGGACTGCACACAGGACTGCGCGTAAGGGGATGGTGCAAGTCCTCGACCGCGGAGGGCTGCATGGAAAAAGGTTCTCTCGGCCGAGGTCTTCGTCGAGTCCTCAGGCCTCGGCTGAGGACTCTGACTCAGTAGAAGAACCAGTTTTTTCTGGGAGCCTAGTTCAAACCCTTTTTTTGGGCCCAGTGGGTGTCAACCTGTTCTGTTCTGAGACAAACCCTGATACACCCACCCATGGACCCAAGTTTTGGTTGAGTGGGACACACACGGACACGTGTTGCGAACTGTACTTTTTTGTGGCACATAAATTTTGAAACCTTTACAAATGGCTCCCCGTGTTCCTCCCAAGAGAGTCTCCGTGATTGGCGGTGGCGGTATGGTCGGTGCTGCTACTGTGAACGCCTTAATCCTGAAGGATGTTGCTGCCGAAGTTTTGATTGTTGATGTTATTGCAAAGGCCGCTGAAGGACAAGCTCTTGACATCGCCGACGCCTCGTTCAATTCCCCCGGAGTTGTCCGAGTTGGCTCGTTCGCTGAAGCTGGCCAATCCGATTTAGTGATAATCACCGCAGGCTACCCCCAGAAGCCAGGTGAGCCCCGGTCTATGCTCCTCAAAAACAACAAGTCCATTATCAAGTCCATATGCGAACAAATGCAACCTATTCGTCCTGACCTGAAGATTCTTGTTGTTGCAAACCCGGTTGACGTCCTGACTCACCTTGCCTGGCAGTATTCCGGACTCCCTAAGAGCCAAGTCTTTGGCTCTGGCACCTACCTCGACTCGGGCCGCCTCCGCTCCCAGATTGCTTCAATGATTGATGTGCACCCGAGAAGCATCAACGCGTATGTTCTGGGAGAACACGGCGACCGTCAATTCGTAGCCTGGTCCGCTGCCACTATCCAGAACACCCCTCTCTTAGACCACCCCAAGCTTAAGGGTGTTGAGTTGGATAGCATCCGTCAGGAAGTTATGCGCAAGGCTTACGCTATTATCGATGCCAAGCGCTCCACTTACTTCGGGATTGGTATGTGCTCTGCTAAGATTGCCGAGTGCGTGTTGAACAACACTCAGGAAGTCTTTCCCCTAGTACACTGGGTTGAGTCCGAACAAGCTTATATCTCGTGGCCTTGCACTCTTGGCTCCAACGGTGTTGACCAGACTTTCCACGTGCCCCTTAATGAGCAAGAAAACAAATCTCTCAAAGTTGCTGTGGACGCTATTAAGGACATGGTTAAGGAAACCGAATCCATTGAAGAGCCCAGCAAGGAGTAATTTTAGTACCACAATGATGGATGTTTTTTCGTCCTTATCTTAACACCGCACTTAGTTCCTTTAGATTCAAAAAAATGGATCCATCGCGACTGTGGCGTTTCGTTTGCAACCGGTGTCCACGATGGCCCAGTCCGTCAGACCATGGCGGAGCCATCCCCAGCATTATTTCCTGTACCTGTTGCGCTTGAATACAAACGATAAAACGAGAATGCCGTTCTCGTACAGGTTTTTGAACCCGTTACGAGGGGTGGCATCCCACTCTCTTCGCACAATCCGGAACACGACATCCTTGTATGAAGGGGCCGAAAACCTAATGAGGACAGTGTTTGAAGTATCTGCAGTTGCGATGTCTATCTGCGTTGCTGAGGGGTCTTGCTCCAGACGCCAGGCTGGTTTGACCCCCGTAGGGAGGTTGGGATAACAGATGAGAAATCGGTACCCTTGAATTGCCTTTGGAGGAGGATTATTCATGTCGTAATGCATCTGGTTGTACTTGTGCCATTCGTGTGCAGTCTTGATTCGACTAAAGTACCGTGGCTTAGTCAGCACACCAGCAACCCCCGGTTGCCACGTCTGAAACGACCCGCCTTCAAGAATATTGTTTGTGTCAGTCTCCTGCGCTCTCTCCCGTAAAACCATGCGATCAAATGCCGCATTGGGATCCTCCATTGATCCGCGTTGTTCGACATCAATGTCCGCAGCAGCAATAGCCTCTGCCGTTTTCTGGTCCTCTTCCGAGAGCTTTTCGCCACCTGCCTTTGCCAAGAGGGGTTCTTCCAATGGAACGCCCGACGCAATGAGTGCATCCTGCTTCTCTCGTACATAGACCACAGCATAAAACCAGGGTAACTTTTTCTCCACCTCTTCCCAATAGTCAATGTCGATATCATCATCGGCGGATGCATAGTGCAGTTGCAGGGCGACCATTCGCTGCATATCCATCACATCCGCTAGTTTGGACATTTTCAGCATACTCCGCAATTCTTGCTGAACTTTTGGCTCCAACAGACTATAGGGGGCGTGTTGCCTCTCTCTTATTTCTCCCGCAATGCTTAATTTGGCATTATTCCAATACTGAGCCTCCTCATCTTTGTCCGAGAGCTGTACGACCACGTCCAAGAACTCGTTGCACCGCTCAATTGTGTATATAAGGTCTGAAATGCTTGTAGACTGTAGGAACTCGGGATAGCTCAGGGAGCACACACGCGTGTGCTCATCCGTTTGCGCTCTCAAAATAGCATATATAGAGAGAAATAGGGATGACGGACCCTCCAGCTTGTCCGAGAACTTCTGATGAAGTGTGGAGTACCTGAAGCGCAATTCAGCCTGAGTAGTTGCTTCGTCGTCGAAGACTAGCCCTTTTTGCTCTCGTGCCTTGATTCTTGCTTCATGCTGCTGTCTTCGTACTCGGATTTGCTCTAGCTCAGACTCCTTCTCTCTCAATTGTCGGTCGGGATCTTGAACCCTCCGGTGTTTGTTTTTGTGCCAGGCGAGTACGGCTACCTGGTCATTATCCTGGCCGGCCATTTTCTAATCATGCCCAAGATTCAGTTGGAAGTGTGCATAGATGACCCACAATCGGTGAATATTCTGAACACGTGCGATGTGCAGCGAATTGAGGTATGTGGACATTTGAGTATAGGTGGAGTTACTCCACCGCTGCCGCTGGTTCGCTACGTGAATGAGTACAGCACTATTCCATTCCGCGTTATGATACGCGTGAGAGCTGGTTTGTTTGATTATACCGAGACAGAATGGAAGATGATGTACGAGGAGGCACGGGCAATAAAGGAAGTTTGTGAACTTAATCCTCTTTGGGAGGGGTTCGTCATAGGAGCCCTGAAGCCTAACGGGTCCGAGATAGATGTCGATGCACTGAAGAAGTTCGCTCAGGAATTGTGCTTGAGTGAAAGTGGCAGACATTTGACACTACACCGGTGCGTGGATATTCTGCCCCAATCGAATATGAAGACAGAGATCCAAAGGTGCCTCCAAGCGATTCCGGTAATTGATGCAGTTTTAACTTCTGGAGGAAGTAGCGACGGCGCACATCAAGGGGTGCACACCCTTTCGAGCATGATGGACTTGCCCATCATGGTCGGCAGTGGTGTCAATGAAAAGACCTTGCCTCTGCTCCGAGCCCAACTTCCTCAAGTTGCTTGGTGGCATGGCAGCTTTAGTCGTGTCGTGGAAGCCGATAACAGATTTCATTTTGGGGAACGGAGTCGGGTGGATGCAGCAAAAATAGCAACGAGCCGGAACTAGGCGGTGCTAGCGCCCTTGGTGGTGCAGTGGGTGACACCATAAATGAGAGCAATACCGCAGATCAACGCGGGTATGCAGCAGTTCAGCACAGCACACTATGTGTGTGACAACAACAGCAGGGTGAACAAGGTCCAGGTTGACGAAGCCCGAATAGACACTGTACCAAATCCCGACGTGAATAAATCCTTTCGTGAATAAAACCCCACGGTGACTCAGCCCAAACTGAAAGCGATTTAGACAGTATATTCGTTAAGGGTAGTTTCATAAAAGGTGCTTAGACGAGCGCCTCCTTGGCGATTTCAGAGTGGCCGGTGGCTTGGATGGACTTGGAGACGCCGCCGAGCTTGTCGAGGAGTCCTTGTCTGGAACTTGCGTAGATCATTCTTTCCTTCACAGGTGCGCTGCCCGGAGTCCACATGATGAAGACGAGCTTGCGGTTGGTGGGCGCTTCCACCACGGCGTAACGGCAGGTACTAGTATCGAATTTGGCCTTGAAATCATCATAGGCGACCTTGCCTGCCTCTTCAATAACAATCTCGCGTTCCTTCTCGACCTTGTAAATGATGTAGTTAATGTCCTTTTTCTTCAACTTCAAAGCGGTCCATTCAGTCACACAGGCAGGGTTGACAGGAACACCGGACATCTTAAGAGAACAGTTAAGTAATTGATGCTTTAATTAAACCCATCAGAAATACCTGATCGCACACAGTAGACGCCCTGCCACCGCCTTAAAAAAAACCTGTCCAAAATTTCGAGACTTCTGTGCCGATCATATTACCTGATCCTTCGGGTGATCTGATTGGGGATAAATAAAAACTCTGCAGACTCGTGATGGTGGTCCATTGAGACAACACATGAAACCTCATGCGCATGAAACCCCATGCGAACGTTGAGCTTTCATAATATTGGGTTGGGGGGATATTGGGAGAATCCATTCTGGGGATCTGGTCATTTTGGAAATATTTTATAGAAGACAAGTTGGGCATGGATAAGTTGGGCATGGATAAGTTGGGCATGGATGTGAAGCGAGAAGTTCCGCAGTCGGGTGAGTTGTACTTGGTGGCGGATGCTCAGTTCGGGCGCATCGAAGAGGCGCTGAAGGCGGGTGTACGATGGGTGCAACTGCGCGATAAGACGAGTAGCACACGTACTATTATCGGATACGCGCGCCGGCTCAAACTGCTGTGTGACAAGTATGATGCTCATTTGATCGTGAATGATCGAGTAGATGTCGCGTTCGCCGTTGACTCCTACGGAGTACACTTGGGCCAAGAAGATATGAGTCCAGTTGTTGCGCGACGCATCCTGGGTAACTATCACTGCATTGGACTTACCATTCAACCAAGAGACCTACCCGGCTGTCCTTTGAGCTTCCGCAAAATTCAAGATGATTCAATTGACAAAGAAAACACGCGGCAAGATAAAGATCCGGGGGTAGAGCACGACCCGGGGGTAGAGCACGACCCGGGGGTAGAGCACGACCCGGGGGTAGAGCACGACCCGGGGGTAGAGCACGACCCGGGGGTAGAGCACGACCCGGGGGTAGAGCACGACCCGGGGGTAGAGCACGACCCGGGGGTAGAGCACGACCCGGGGGCAAAGCACGACCAGTGGGCGAGGCCTTATGAGGAGTCGCTGCAGACTGAAGCTATAAATGAGCGTGAGGCGTTGGAGCGGGAAGAGTTTAAGAAGAATCTGGCTGTCGCTGATTACGTTGGCTTAGGAGCGGTCTATTCTACTGCGACTAAGCAGACGGACGTGATCGGTATAGAAGGTGTTATCTGGACTATGCGCCGGCTGCGCGAAGAGTTTGGTTACCGAGGCTCGTTTGTGTTGATTGGAGGTCTGAGTTTAGAGAACGTGGAGGGGGTACTTCGTGCCGTGAGCAAGGCGGTGGGTGAGGTGCCGGGGGTGGCGGTGGTGTCTGCAATCATGTCGGCACCTAATGCCTTACAAGCGGCGACGGACCTGCAAGCGTTGTTGAATAAGGTCACGACGTCGCCTCTCCCGGATAGCCCTTTGTTCTGGAAACAGAATGTTCGGCGCGTTCTGGCAGCTGTTCAGATACACAGACCGGTAGTCCATCATGTAACGAACCATGTCGTGGCCCACCTATCTGCGAATGCATGCATTGCCCTTGGCGGCAGTCCCTGGATGACTTATAATCTGCTTGACCTGCCTGGCGTGAATGCTGTTGCAGACGCAACTGTGTTCAACATTGGGACCATCGACTTCGACGTCGACGCGTTGTGCGAACACTTCCAGAATCACAACACGCGCAACATCGTATTCGACCCCGTCGGCTGCCACTGCTCCGAATACCGGCTTGCTCTTGCCTCCCGCATCATCCAAGATCTCGATATCGCAGTCATCAAGGGAAACGCTGCCGAAATTGGGGCACTGGCTACAGGCAAATGCCTCATCGGCTGCGCCGGTTTGGACGCCACCGCAGGCTCGGCCACAGGACTGGACTCAAGTGCTCTGAGCCTGACTACTGATTTAGACAAGACTAATATAGGCGACAAATGTACGGTTTTGGACGACGGGACTACTGCTCGAGGCGGCGGGACTGGAGCGGACGGGGCTACTGTTGAAGGTGAACCTGCGGATGTGGACGTTGCGTTACGAAACATAATTGACACCGCGCAGGCCTTGAGTAGTAAGACAGGTTCCGTGGTCTGCGTAACAGGCGCCCGAGACGTGGTGACGTACCAAGGACAGACGGCCGTTCTTGAGAATGGCCACGCATTCATGGCGAACATCACCGGGACTGGGTGCATCACTGGCACGGCCATTGCCACCATGCTCGGCGTGGAGCGGGACCCGTTTCTGGCGACGGTCGCCGGCGTCGCGGCAGTCACCTTGGCTGGGGAGGTTGCAACCGAAGAGTACGTCTCCGCCGGGCGCCCCGTGGGCATGACCGTTGGGCCGGGGCTGTTCAGCTTGCGATTACATGACGGTCTCTTCCTTATGCGTAGTTCGTTTCCCGAGGATAAGTTCCGCATAAGGATCATCTAGATCAGGTGTCTGCCCGCTGTAAGTCGGGTCTGCCGGCTGTAAGGCAGGTCTGCCGGCTGTGAGTCTGGTCTGCCGGCTGTAAGGCAGGTCTGCCGGCTGTAAGTCAGGTCTGCCCACAGTGGAAGCCATTCCACCCAGTGTATCGTGATCAGCGGCCGTTTCTGGTGTCAAGCATTACTCGTCGGATTGCACATGCTGCCAGTAAGTAATCCGAGCGGCAGAAATAAAAATGCCACGAGTGGTCTTTTTAGTGTAGTATTTGGAGCTTCTCAGCTGAATTGCGGGGACATCTTTGATTGTGGAGGCATGCTGGAGTTAGCTAAGAATTTTGGAGAAGAGTTGTGACCTCGAAACGGCCGGTTTAGGAACCGGTCGGGAGTCAGGAAAATTATGTTTAGTGGCGGATGTTGGCTTATGTGTCTGCAATCATGACAGCACCTAGTCGTTCACAAGCGGCAACGGACCTGCAGGTCGGATCGCGACGTTGATTTACTTAACAGCACCTTGTTCTGGAAACAGAGCGTCCGGTGCGTTCTGACAGCCGTCCAGTAGCATAGACCCGTAATCCACCACCTTGTGTTGACCAAACGGCCCACCTAGCCGAGAATGCATGCATTGCCCTGGATGACAAACCCTGGGTGACTTACAATCTATTTGACATGCCTGGCGCCAACGCCGTTGCACGAGCAACTGTGTTCAGCATGGGGACCCTCGACTTCGACGTGGGCACCCTCTGTTAACACTTCCAGACGTACAACACGTGCAACCTCCTCTTCGACCCCGCCAATTGGCACTAGTCCGAGGGCCGGCTTGCTCTTGCCAAGATCCAAGATCTCCATATCGCAGTCATCAAAGGAATCGCTGCCGAAATTGGGGCACTGACCACAGGCAAATGCTCCACCGACGACGGAACTACTGCTGGAGCGGAGGGGACGGCTGCTCCAGCCGACGGGACGGCTGGCAAAGGCGATGGGATTCGAGGAGATGGGACTAGCGTTGGGGGTGAACCTGCGGACGTGAACGTTGCGTTACGAAGCATAACAGAGTGCCAAGGCGGGTGCAGGCGCCCGAGCTGTACCAAGGACAGACGGCCGTTGTCGGCAACGATCGCTGGCGGTTATTTTGGCTATGGAGACCGCAAGCGAATGTCTCGCCTCCGCTTGAGGACCCGCCGCTGTTCAGCTTGAGCGCCGCCCAGCTTGAGATTACACGACGGACTGTTCCTTATGCGTAGTTTGTTTCCAGAGGATAAGTTCCAGGTAAGCAAAATCTAGGTGTCTTTAACTGCAGGCAGGTGTAGCTGAACGCCTGGACGCCGAGAACAGCCGGCGACCGTGCTATGATCCCAACACATCGTTCCACTGAGCAGGTGCCCCACAGTGTCTGTCTGACATCAAATACTGCTTTTATTGAGCCGCACTACCTGTAATTGCACGGGACCTGTAATTGCACGGGACCGCAGAGCTCAATGATGCTGCGGGGATCAGATGAACTTGCTGATGATGTTGGAAATGGCGCTGCTGCCGAGACGGCCCTCTGCCGAAGCGGCGCTGACAGGTCTCACGCTTGGTTTGCCCTTGGTTTGAGTCTTGGCCGTTCCAGAGCCGGATCTTTTGATAATCGTTTTTTTGGTCATAAGGGACGCTTTCTTGGGGCTGGCAGCGGTCTTCTTAACGGCTGCTTTTTTTTTGGGCGCGGCCGTCTTTCTCTTCGGGCTTGCTGCGATCTTCTTGGTGGGAGTTGCCATGGGCTTAACCGGTTCTTTTTTCACCATGGGTTTTTTGATAGCCTTTTTCGGCGACGCGGCCGCCTTCTTGCCTACAGCTGCCGCCTTCTTGCCTACTGCTGCCTTTTTTGGTGAAGCTGCTGCCTTTTTTGGTGAAGCCACCGTCTTTTTTGGCGAAGCTCCAGGTTTCCTGCCGGGCTTCTTCTTGGGTAGGGTCACAGTTGTTCGCGTCGATGTGTGCGGTGACGTCGCCTGCACCCGCGGCGAAGCGAACACTGCTGACGTCTTCTTCTGAGGCACAGCCTTCAGTTTCGGTACGCTCTTGCTCACCGACGACGGCTTGTTTCCTGTACGCTTCACTACCGCCGAACGCTTCTGAGGAGAAGCGCCTATCTCGAACAACAAGATCGCATGCGTAGGAACAGGCGCATTTTTGCCGAAGCCTTTTTTAACAAAGTGCTTCACATCCTGCCACTCGTGGAGCTCCTGTCTGGCGTTGTTCGGACCAGTTATCTTCGCTGACATACTCTGCACCTATTGCACCCGTCACACACACACTTCTCGGAAAAGCTATCCGTGTTCGATACAATCGTGTTCGATACGATCGTGTTGGGCGCGATCGTGTTCGACGCGAGTGCTTCGACACCAGTTTCCGACAGGCATTCATTAAACGTTAGGCGTGGGAACAACCAATGTAGTGTAACAGTCAGTGTAGTGTAATAACCAGTGGGCAGTGGACGAGCGGTGCAGTGGACAAGCGGTGCAGTAGGCAAGCGGTGCAGTAGGCAGTGGACAAGCGGTGCAGTAGGCAGTGGACAAGCGGTGCAGTAGGCAGTGGACAAGCGGTGCAGTAGGCAGTGGACGAGCGGTGCAGTGGACAAGCGGTGCAGTGGACAAGCGGTGCAGTAGGCAGTGGACAAGCGGTGCAGCGGGCAACCAGTGCAGTAGGCAGTAAACAAGCGGTGTAGTGTCGAATTGGGTGTCGGAAGATTTGTTCTTGGTCAGACGGAAAAACAGGTTTTGACTATTCTTCGTCGGAGGGGGTTTGTTCCTTCTTCACTCGCCTTCGAGTCTTAGGCTTCTCTTCCTTCACCTTGGAAGCCTTGGGATCACTGCCGGAGCCGCCCTTCATGCCGCCGCCCCAGTACTTGTTGACCGTAGCCCATGCTATGCCAGCGGCGCGCTTCTCATCTGTGCCATACCGGTCTCGGTAGGAGTCGTAGATATGTTCGGCCTGTCGCTTTTGCTTGTCACTGTATTTGTCTTTACTACCCCTCGCCATTTCGCGATTAAATGTGCAGATGAAAACGGCAATTCACGCGCATGCGGCAGACGCGCACGGTTCTCTAATAGTACTCGGACTTCACGTGACCGCCTTCGTAGCCATGACCGCCTTGGTAGCCGTGACCGTCGCCGTAGCTCTCAGATTTTATGTTACCTCCGCCGTAGGCGTGACCGCCGCCGTAGCTCTCAGATTTTATGTTACCTCCGCCGTAGCCGTGACCGCCGCCGTAGCTCTCAGATTTTATGTTACCTCCACCGTAGCTCTCGGGCTTGGCGCCTGTGCTATCGCCTGTATTGCGGACGCCGGCTTGGTGGCTAGGAGGAACGTAATTGTGATAGCGGCTCGGATCTCCGCTGCCTCCGTTGCAGCCTCCTCCCGAGAACTTGTTTACAGTGGCCCACGCAATTCCGGATGCTGTATCCCTATCGGCACCATAGTTATTGATGTAGCTGTCTCGTATGGCGCCTGCTTGAGCCTTCTGGATGGAGCTATATTTGGCCTTGCTACCACTTGGCATCGATGATTTTCACGAAATAAAAAATATCACCCACAGACTCCCCGCACAAATAACTCTACGTACTAAGACCACAGTGAGCGACCATGATCCGTTTATGAGCCATGGTCAGCTATGGTCAGTTAATCCTCCCCCCAATAGCATGGCCTTGCCTATTGTGTTGCGGGCAGGGTTTCTGGTCACGCGTAATTCCGTTTCTTTACAGAGTAAAATTGATGTGTTTAAATCTTCTTGTTCTTCCCTGAGCTGGCCAGTAGTGTGATTATGTCTTGGACAGATGGCATTTTTTTGTGCATTGATTGCACTTTGTCCAGCCCTTGATCAAGGTACGGCTGAAGGATGGCCTTACCATGTTTCTGGTACAGCTCGATAGCCGGCTTCTGTAGAAGGTAGCCATCCGCCAATAGCAGCGTCACAACTGGCAGCGAGAAGATGGTCATAAGATATGAAGTAACGAAGCACACTGCCGTGACGGTAGCAGAGTACCTCTTATCGGCCCAGTAGAACACATGTCGAGCAGCCTTATAAACGTAATTCATCGATTGCTGCAGTGACTCTGAGATCTTCTGCGACTGAGCCTCCGATATAAGGATAGCTGCACCATTCACATCTTCTTTCCATCCCAACACTCGAGTCAGGGCGAATCCAGCAATCGAAGCAAAACCACAGAGAAAGAGGAATGTGCTCAACGGCTTCAACCGCACCATAAAGGCAATCAAACAACCCACATTCAGTCCCAACACATACCTTGTAGAATATCCAATATCCTGCCAGCTAGCAATCTTCTCAACCGATCCAAAAACGCTGCCAAATGACACGCTGGACGGGGTGGAGGATGCCGTGCTCGTCTGGGAGGACATAGTAAATTTCGCAATTATTTTTTATAACCCCGACAGATACTGGCAGCGCCATCCTGGCTCCATCCCAACGGAAATTTTACTCAGAAAAATGCATCACACGTCCAGCGGGATTGCCGCTCCGTCACATTGCCATTCAGAAACGTTTTTTCTCTCCGACCACCTACCGACCACCTACCGACCACCACACCTACCGACCACCATACCTACCGACCACCACACCTACCGACCACCTACCGACCCGATGGCTCCCGGTTTTTCTTCCCACAGTGTGGCTGTAAATAAAATGTTGGGTTTGGATAGTGGGGTGTCATGTGAGTTGATAGTTGAAGGTGATGCTTTGAATCAGAAGGCTGTGCTAATTCGTGTGCCCGATTTCATAGCTGATGTATGGGACGGTCAGCCGGTTGGTACATGTATTGGTATGTTATCAGGTGATGAGATTCGGTTGAGTAAGAAGCAGGGTTGTCTAGTGAATATGTTGCGAGGGAAGCCGGAGCGTAGTACAACTGGAGTGGTTTTGGGTAGTAGTCAAGAGGTGTTAGAGGATCTGCCGGATGAGTTGAGTATATCAGCTATTTTAGAGAGCAGTAGTACCTACCTACCTAATCTCTTGGACCCCGCATATCAATGCTATGTTGCCAGCCAACTCGGTGCTCCCGAAGACGTACAGGGTCCAAAGGTATTGTCGGTTGATGATGCACGGGCATTAGAACAGGCACGCGTTCGTGGTGGTGCCCAGGACGAAAGCATGTTCCGATACTTCAAGGAAGAAGGTGTCAAGGTCATCCAAAATACCGGTGCCGTTAGCGACTCTCAAATGGAAGCAGCTTCTGCTGCGCTCTTTAAACTATTCGAAACCTCCGCAACTGAAGACGGCACACTCGGCCTCAGAGACATACAACAAAATATACACCTACCACCACACCATCTCCGGAAACTTCTCGAACAACTTACCGAACCACAACGCGAACGTCTTGGCAGAAGATCACTCTTCTCACTCAAACCTCAGTTTAAAAAACACTAAACTATAACAAACCAGACAAGAACAAACCAAACCGCCTCACCACCCAACCAACCAACCAACCAACCGGCAGATACGTGTGTTCGGGTCTGCCGGCAGATCCGTGTGTTCGGGTCTGCGCGCGTGTGTGGTTTCCATCAGCCAGTAACACAATGCAGTACAGATACATGAAGTTTCTAGTCCGAGCATGTAAGTGTGTCCCAGTCTGTCAGGAGTTGTTCCAATAGAGCCGGTCCCTCTTCATAGAGCCGGTCCCTCTTCATAGAGCCGGTCCCTCTTCATAGAGCCGGTCCCTCTTCAGAAATTGTCTTTCTGCCACCCACGTGCAATCCTGAGCCGTCGGTGCCCAATGGGTAGAGCTCGTGCACAGGAATGTAGCATGCCCTGCTGTGTGAGACACGGCAAAATGAATATTCGAAGATCGTAAGTGGCCATTTCTGCATTGTGGTCTTGATTGTGGACTCAACCAAGACCATCCGAATGGTAGGCTCATTAGTACTGTGCCCATGATCCTTAGGACCCCCGCTAGTACCTGTTCCAACCGTCCGAACAACGTGTGGTTCCAGCGTACACGACAATGTCATCAATATGCATATTCACATTATTCCCGATCAATCTATCTGGTAGCTGAGTCTGGAAATGAGTCTTCCCGAAGCGGAGTCTTCGTCTTCCTCCATCTTTTTAACTGGGGCCCTCTCCTTGGCCTTTTCCGGCTCTCTTCATCATGCGGTCTCCATAGACGATCAGTAGGGTTTAGTCCAGGATATTTGTGCCACTGCTCTCGAGTACCATGCCGCCGCGTTGGAGGTATCCACAACAATTCTGGTGAGGTGTGTCATACATAAATTGACTTGAGCACTCAATGCTTGCTTGATGACTTCGACATACGACTTCACCACCAAGTGTAACGTTTTTATCCCAGTACATAATCGATTCAATTGCGTGACGCCTCTTGCCCGAGAATCGGACCCCCCCGGCAAGCAGAGCCTGTGCCACGGAGCGTCGTGTTTTACTGCCGTGTTCGTGCACCGGACAAGCTGGCGCATCAGCTGGATGTAACGGTGACTTGCGATGAGTTGGGGTTCCGCTGTTCAGACCTGGCCCCAGTTCTGCTGTTCAGACCTGGCCCCGGTTCTGCTGTTCGGACCTGGCCCCGGTTCCACTGTTCAAATGCTGGTCCCCGTTTGTGTCCACGCCCGGGAATAGAGTGACGGGATTTATAACCACCATTATGTTTGTGAGCCTAAGATGTTCAAAACCGAGTGGTCAGGCCTTGTGCACGCTTGGCAAGTGCACGCATTCAAGACCTGGTGAAGCGATAACGTGATGGACAAACTGAGTTGTTACGTGAGATTGGCGAGCAGGTGGGGCTGTAAGGCAAGAGTAGGACTGGTAGAGGACATGATGCCGGGCTGAACTATGGACGAACCTGAGGACGTGTGCCGGTAGGAACTATTACGTAACGCTCGTATGACATGAACAGGGGATTCTGGAACATCCCGCTCCTGGAGGAGAGTAAGCGGCTCACTGCGTTCATCACTCCGACCGGTCTGTTTGAATTCAACGTGCTACCGTTCGGGATAAAGAATTCTCCGACGGCGTTTCAGCGCGCAATGGATCGGACATCTCGTTGGCAATGTGGTTTTAACTACCGATGTGGTGACATCAAGGAGGAGGTCCTAGCCCCTTTGGAGGAAGCCCTGCAGCGTACGATCACCTCTGGATTCTACCTTCGACTCGACAAGTCTGAGTGGATGAAGCCGACGACCGACTATCTGGGTTATCAGGTAGGTCGAGACGGGATCAAGGTACGTAATAAGTCCATGAAGAGTATAACAGAGGCTGCACCGCCGACGGACAGATCGACTGCAGCTAGACTTCGACTGCAAGCGGTAGCGAATACCGCAACCTTACATGCGCCACGGCCAGGAAATCCGTGCGTGGCATACACGGATGGCTCCGGAGTGGGTGGGCATAGGAGCAGCGCTCATGCAGTACCCCGGTAGAGAAGTACCCCTAATGTATGCAGGCCGAGGGTTGTCAGAAGCAGAACGAAGGATACCCCAGAGAGAGAGCTCTACCCAATCAAGTACGCACTGGAGAAATGGCGAGACTACTCGGCCTGGAGAAGTTTGTCGCACGGACGGATCGCAACAATCTCAGATACCTGGCGACGGCCCACACGAACAAGGTCCAGCCTTGTACCCTGGGCAATTTAACTTCGATATAGAGTTCCTACAGGGAAGTCAGAATAACGTTGCCGACTGGCTTAGTAGGTATGCCGCTCCAGACATCAACGAGGATGATCTGCTAGACGCCGTGGGTCTACCGGTCAGACAGCTGGACAAGATAGACGTGGGCACAGATCTGCCGAGTGTGGTTGAGGTGAGGCGTGCGGAGGAGGGCCTGACTGGCCACAAAGCTTATGTAGAGCGCGACGGTAGGATTGTGGCAGCCGCGACTCGTCGAGGGTAGGTACCGGGGCTCTACGAGAGAGAGTAATTCGCAGCTTGCACTACAGACGAGGTGGAACACATGGGCGTGACAAAGACTGAGAAGAGTAGCGCAGTACTTTGTGTGGTCAGGCATGCCTGCTGACGTGGCAGCCTTTGTGAAGTCTTGCTTGATAGGCGCTCGACTGAAGCAACCGCGTTCCACCACCCA